TCTTTTCTCAAAATTAGGGTTGTTTAAAGACCTATCTGCAACAGGTAAGATACTGTTTGAGAGTTTTCCACAGAATCGCATTTTAAGAGAGCTCTAATAAAGTTTTCTCTTCACTCCAAGCAAAACTTTGAAACTTCTGCACTCTATTCAACTATTTTTTGGTGGGAATTCAAGTTTTCTCTGCCAAAATGTTGACTTTCACACTCTGACATGACTAAACTAAGCCCCGCAGTCAAACATCACGTGCTTTTTATTCCTGGGAACGAACGACCTTGAGCTCAGCTATGGTTTTTACTTTTGTTTTGCTTGTACGACAGCTTGAAGACAAGTTGCAGCATCCTTTAAAGGATGAGTTCACAGCTCTGATTCCTTAAATATTCCAGTAGGCCTACAAGGAAAAGCTCAGCCCCAGTTGTCTGGTATGATGAGAAGAACAAACTTTAACAAACAAAACTGCAAACTCTGAGCTATATGGGAACTACACAGTCACTAATGAGTGGGAGTTTTTGGCATCCTGGTTGCTAACACTGCATGGTAATGAAATAAAAATGTCAAACCGACAAATGGTCGTATGACTTTCACTGTCAGAGGTGTAAGATGCAGAAAAATAATTCATCACACAACACTCAGACATGCAGTACATGACAAATGTTTGGAAATGAGCCTCTTATTGTTGCTAGTCTGTGTTGGGTGAATGAACAAGTTGCTTTTAATTCGTATATTTTTTGTACCTGAACTGCACTTTATGGATTTGTCTGAAGCAGCTCCTCTGCAGACAAAGGCATTTTTTTTGTGTGTGTTTAAATACAGTTGAGAGAAAGAAAAGCACAAATTAGAAAACAAATCAAAGCTTAATCCTTCAAACGAGACGTTCAAGTGAAAAAGAAACATCTTCTCCTTCCTTCAGGGAAATATTCTCTCGTTTGAACTCACACAGCTCTCAGTTTGGGGAAATGTTGTTGTTTTTTGTAAACTTTCATACTTTGTCCCAGCTGGATTGTTAGAATGATGTTTGAGCTTTCCTGTTTTTCCAACACATGTAGCGCTGTAACCCTGACCTGACACAGGATTTGTAAATAACATCCAAATAAAAGCTTTAGGGAAATGTTTATCATGAGCAGTTTGAGAGGTTTTTCTTTTTCTTTCACTAACTGATGCTTAATAAAAGATAATAATCAGAGTTGGAGTTTCATTGTTTGGACAGAACTGATTCTTGGCCACAGAAACTGACAGCTTCATGTGAGGTGAGGCTGAAGGCTGTTTGAGTCATCCAGCAGCGCCCCCTGCTGGCTAGACTCAGTTTAGACTTCAATGAGCTTCTCCACAAAACTAATGCACCTTTAATAGACATTCACATTTAATTACCTTGTCTTCTTTAATATAAAAGAGTAAATATGGCTTTCCAGCTCACTCTGTTGCATCCCAACAGGACCATTTCATGATGGTGATAATGATGTTTCATGTCAGTCCTCAGTCAGATGCTTCAAAATACGATAATAAGAAAACTACACCAGCTCACCAGTAAAACACACACAGAGACTGAACACAAATTTAAATGCAACACTTGGTTTTGCTTCCATGTTTTTGGTTTTCCCAGAAAACCAGTCGGTATCTGGTGTGACCACCATTTTCCTCATGCAGTGCAGCACATCTTCTTCTATGGCTGTGTGAAGTTGCCAGATATTATCAAGAACTGGAACATGCTGTCGTATACGATGATCCAGAGCATCCAGAACATGCTCAATGGGTGACATGTCTGGTGAGTGTGCAAGAACCAAGGTGTTTTCAGCTTCCAGGAATTGTGCACAGATCCTTGCAACATGGGGCCGTGCATTATCAAGCTGCAACATGAGGTGATGGTCGTGGATGAATGGCACAACAATGGGCGTCAGGAATTCATCATGGTATCTCTGTGTACTCAAAATGCCGTCAGTAAAATGCGCCTGTGTTTGTTGTCCATAACATCCACCTGCCGAACCCCACCACCAGCGTGGGCCACTATTCACAACACTGACATCAGCAAACTGCACACGATGCAATATGTCTGCCATCTGTACTGTGAAAACTGGGATTCATCCGTTAAGATCATCTCTCCAGTGGGCCATACGCCATCGAATGTGTGCATTTGCCCACTCAAGTTGGTTACAACGATGAACCGCAGTCCCTCGATGAGGATGAGCATACAGATGAGCTTCCATGAGACAGTTTCTGAGAGTTTGTGCAGAAATTCTTTGGTTATACAAACTGATTGTTGCAGCAGCTGTCTGGGTGGCTGGTCCCAGACTATCTCGGAAGTGAATATGCTGGATGTTGAGGTCCTGGGCTGGTGTGGTTGCACATGGTCTGCAGTTGTGAGGCTGGTCTAAAATATCTTTGGAGATGGCTTGTGGTGGAGAAACAAACATTTAATTCATGGGCAACCCTCAAAACTTGCAACATCTGTGGAATTGTGCTGTGGTAAAACTGTATATTTTAGAGTGGCCTTTTATTGTGGTCAGCCTAAAGCACACCTGTGCAATAATCATATTGTCTAATCTGTCACTTGTGAGGTGGATGGATGACAAAGAAGAAGTGGTCAGTAACACAAACTTACACCAATTTGTGAAGTATATTTGAGAGGAACAAGGCCTTTTTTTGTACAATGAAAAAGTCTTAGGTGCATGTTTGTCATGTTAGCAAAATATCTGATCAACCACTTGACAGATGTTATTAAAACTTAATCAATGGATGTACATCTACAACTGAACAATATCTGGAGTCAACCCGATTCAATATGGCCATCACGCCACACTGATCTAATGAAACGCTGTAATTCAGTCAGTTTTAGTGTGAAAATCTGGTGTGGTAGTAACTGAGAGTCATACTCCAAGTGTCACTCAATGTGCAAGATCTTTGTGTAAAAGTTTAGCATTAACTGTTGGGAGTCCACCACGATTTTCTGTTAGCAGAATATCTCATGGACCACTGAATGAGTTGTAATAGATTAAAAAGTAATCATTCATTGACCATCTAAAACTGATTCCCTCTGAGAGTTGATCCAAGGTGCACGTTATGTTAATTTCATAGTTTGACCAAAACTGTCTCGACACCATTTCTCAACATGAAGAGCTTACTTTAAATCTTTGGCCTGGAAGATGGCGGGCAACATGCATTCAATGCTTTATTCATTGCAAGCATGACCATGTTCTCGCTTTATCTGTTGGAACACACATCTGCCCCTGCAAACACAACAAACCACTGTGTGTGTGTGCACAAAAAACCCTGCTGTAATGTGTTGCCGTATGGCAACATATCTTTAGTTTATAGCAAGTTCTAAACATTTAGAACGAGTTTGTGTTGAGTAAAGAGGCACGCAAGTTCATGCTCAATAATCCAGGTAAAAATCCAACAATGTTCAGTCAGGTCATCTGGAGTTTCTTTTTTTGTTGTTGCTGAGACGTTTCATCCTTCATCCAAAGGACTTCTTCAATCAGAGGAACCAGTTTCAGCTAACAGTGTTTTTTTCCACTATGGTGTGAGGTTTGTGCGAATCAGTTTGTTTGGTGGCTCCTCTGATTGAATAAGTCCTTTGGATGGATGAAACATGTCAGCGAAAAAAAAAAAAAAAACATCCAGATGACCTGACTGAACATTGTTACACGACAATGAATGTATAGAAAACAATTTTAACAATTTCTATTGAAAAAAACATTTAAATCTACAAAAAGAAGTTAATCGAGATGTTAATGTTTATGTTGCACTGCTTCTAGAGTGAATTGTTTCCATTATTGCACAATGTTAACATGTTGCAATGCACCCCGAAATACATCTTAAAATATTTTTAAACTTTTTAAACAAGTTCATTTGAATAATAAAAAAACTAAATGTTGCTGTAGTTATGAATTTAAAGTCAATCCGAGATCATCAAGAGCCTTTGGATGTGATTGTTTTTATCTAGATATGCAGTTACAAGATGTTAATTTACTATTAAACGTTCAGATTTCACGTTGCAGGTGCCCTTGATTGTTCACTACAGCGTGAACACGGGACTGTAGGAGCTTCAAGAACTTTTAAAAAACAATTTTAAAGCAGGTCAATCCTGTACTCCTGGTGTGTGTTCAGTAAATCACCTGCACACACTTTAACTTGTCATGTTTTAAATCCAGATGTTTTCAGGCTGCAAAATCAGGTGAGATGTTGACTTTTATCTTTTGAGCTTCTCTGACTTTTAACACTTTGATAACTTTATTTTTTAATTATCAGAAGACATCGAGTCTAATCCCACCACTGGAACCTCCTCACTCTGTCCAGTAATAATGTAAAGTCAGATAAGGATGTTTTCAACTGATGTACGTTGTCATCGTGAGTTCTTGACACCGGCCGTCACGATGGAGAAGAAATAACGAAGCTTTCCGTTACCGCTCAGACTTCATGGGAGGTGGTGTGAAGAACGCTGAGCTGAAGACAAACGGCCTGATCCAAAACTTTACCAACAATTTTTATCAGAGCAGAAAGACACTAAATGTTTATCTTACAAGATACAGCTTCTCAAAAAAAATTTACACTCCAGCTTCCAGCCTCTAACACGCTTCATGTTACAAAGTACTTAACTTTACTTAACTTTAAAAATGTTGGGCTTTAATCCAAAAAGCAAATAAAATCTTTTTCAGAGTAAATAGTTGAGTTTAAATAAAAAAAAAAAAAAGGTTGATAGCAGATCTATACAACTGCATCTCTTTATTCACATTATCAAACAGTGCAGGAAAAACAAAAAGACTCGACAAATGTGAGGGAACATGCAACAGAAATATGAAACATCACGTCCGAGCCACAGATCAACGACATCATGACCACGACAGGAAGTCAATAATAAAATGCACTCAAGAAGTCAGTTTTTCACTTGATGTTCAGTGATGCACAGGACTGCTCAGTTGATTCTCTGAAGATTAAATAAAGACAACTGCACCAGAAACAACTTAAAGTTAGCATCCTCAAATTCCTGTTAGCAAGAAGCAAAACTGAACATTAAGATGGAGGTGATGTCAGCTTTAGGTCATGCCTTTAAGAACCTTTAAAAACTTTCCATCAGATGATGGAGGCCAGACACAAGAATCGTATTTGTCCTGTAATCCATCAAGTGACAAACTGAGCTGAAGCAGGCCTGTGGTGTTCTGATCTGATGAGTCTCGTCAGGTTCACACCAGCTGCACGGCGGCGGCCTGCAGGTACCCCTGCAGGAACTGGAGGGCCTCTGCGTTCAGACTGGTGCTCAGCATGGAGGGAACCTGCACCACAAACGCACACAACCACATCACCTGCAGCTCATTTGGGATTAGAAATCATTCAAATTATGACATTTACTTAAAATATCAACCTGTTATGAAAAATAATAATTTTGTGTACGCACCCTTCCAGGACAAGCTGTAGAAAGTTTGTGGAGCGACTGAGCCAGCAGGATTTTTGGATTGCCGACTGCGTCTCCTATCGGGTCGTGCTCCTTCTTTCCGGCGAAGGCGAGCTGAGAGAACGCCGTCTGGTAGCCCGGCGTGTCTTCGATGTCAATGAAATGCTCGTCGTCTGGGATGCTGTCGTCTTCTGGCAGCTCAAACAGACCAATGAGCGCCTGGAGCAGCGCCGTCCTTCAGACACAACAAACTGTGAGTTTGGCACGAGGCGACATCCACGCCAAACAAATGTAAAACAATCCTACGCAAATCATTTCAAATTGATGGAGAATGACAGACTGAGCTGAATCTAATCAAACTTTACAGTTTTATGAGCAATCCAGTACATCAAAACATTTCTGAATACCAGGTCCAGTTTGAAGATGAATTTTGACATCGGATATTTTAAAGTACCGTAATTTTCGCTGTATAAGTCGCAGTGTTTTTGCATAAATTAGCATGCCTGCGTATACAGCGAAGCAATGCATGTATGTTTTTCCCCATATTTATAACCAAAATTTTGGCTGAGATCTGACGATTTCATTCATTCTGACGTGGAAAATATTGAACACTACCATTTTCAACCACTAGAGGGCCCTCGACTAATATGGCAATCCAAGTGTCTTATTAATAGGTAAAAGTGGCTATTAATGAGACACTTGGCTTGCCATACAGAGTCACCTTTGTCTCACTCCAGAACTCCTGGAGCAAACGTCAAATCAGCTTCATTTCACTGCACCGCCCAGGAGAAATGCAGCCGATATGATTGTCAAAGTGCATTTATTGACACAACTTTGCTATAGTTTCGAGCAAACAAATAATTGTTTTTAAGTGTTAATCTTGTTAAATTCTTGTTAAAGTCCTCCTGTGCACGCTCCTGAGGCCACCATTTGGCAGCCATTCAATTTTTGGCACAACACCCACACTTCCGGGTGGTCAGCGATGACGCATAACAAACGCAACGTGTCAGCGATGATGCATAATAGATGCGAATTTTACAGCGAAGCGACATATTTATGATTTTTTTCCCACTTTATAAGACATATTTGGACTGATATGACTTATACGGCGGTGCAACGTTTACGGTGACAAGTATTGTAAATATTTAAACTGATAACATCCATTTGATCCCCTCCCCTCACTTATTACAGCTAAAGTCTCAATACAGCCGTTTTAAATTTAAATCATTCAAGCAACTTTATTGAAGTGGAAATATCCGTTTTGTCTCCGTTTAGATCTAGAGTGATGCATTTTCAAATACTGATTATTGCAGATCACAAAAACAGGTCAGCTGACCTCCAAACAACTTGCGACTGAGGTTCACAAACACTTAGAGCCACAAATTAGCAGGAAAAAACAGACTATGAGGCATAAGAAAGAAATGGATATAAACATTTTTTAAACTGACATTTACAAGTTGATGCGTCTAAAAATGCAAATGAAAGAACAAGAAGCCTCATTTTTGAAGGGACAGACTTATGTTTTACCAGAGTTTAGTGTACTCCGTGTCCATCATTGCAGGACACTCTGTGAGGATCTTTGTGATGCCAACAGCACAAATCTTCTTCTCTACTGCTCCAGACACCTTCTGAACCTCTGGGATGATGATTTTCTCCAACACCATGCCAAACATTCTGCAATTCACAAACAACTTAATGATTTTTTTTTTCTGCTAGTCTTCTACAATATATGACATGAAGTCAGAAAGACATGAAGCGTTAGGACATTTTGAGACATCATATTACCGCCATAAAAAGGAAAACTTCATATTTGCCTGAAAAAACGTTTGTAACTCATCTGTGCCTTCATGCAGAGCTGAGGGAAGTGGGTTTATGTTTCAGAACATCAAGAGTTTATTTTTAAAGACATTAAATGAATGAAACCAAACCCTCCCTCCCTTCACTGGCTTCCAGTCTGTATCAGAATAGATTTTAAAATTCTCCCGTTGACCTTTTAGTGGATAAATGACCTTGCACCCTCTGAGCTACTTCAACCATATGTTCCTTCTCGGGCGCTGAGATCATCTGACCAGCTGCTTTTGGTTGAAGCTCAGAGGAGATCGGGCTTTTTCAGTCATGGGTCCTAAACTCTGAAACAATCTGCCCCAACTTTAGACAGGCCACTTCACTTCCTGTTTTTAAACCTCACATCTGTTTTCACTGACTTTCAACACGGTGTGATTTCATGCTTTTTTTATGCTTTTAATCTTAGTTGTAATTTTTTCTTTAAATTACTGCCATGGATTTGTATTGTTAAGCACTTTGGTAACAGCTGCTGTTTTTAAATGTGCATTATAAATAAATTTGACTCGACTCCAACATAACTGAAGGTCTGTGAAGTTTATTCATGCACCAAATTTAAACAGGTGGCTCGACTCCTCACAACAAGACCCGCAGAGGACTTCCATTTTTAAATCTTGTGGTTTATTTAAACAATAAACATATAAAACTTACTTTGGCTGGATGCTGTCAAAAATCTCCTGAAGAGCAATCGCTCCATATTTGACACAGTATAAGTTGACAAACACCAAGAAACCTTTGGAGAGAAAACCACTGTCAAATAAAACCATAGAATAATAAGCACTGTAGTTAAAAGATGTTATCACTGACGAGACATGAAAACATGAAAACTTCAGAACACAACTTCTGCTATGAAGAAAAACCTGTGAACTAACCTTTAATGAACTTGGTGGTTTTAGAGCTCTGTAGCCTCTGGAAGAGCAAGATGAAGATCTGTTTCTTGTACTGGGTGATGGACTCTCTGACAAAGCAAAAGAATAAGACGCTGATTTTTCACAACACAGTTTTTATTTAGTTTTACTGATTGTTAGGTATTTAAACCTTCCTGAATCAACTTACGGGGGCATGTGCTCGATGATGCTGTTGAGAAGGTAAAACCCTTGGTGGTCATTGGCCTTGGAAGCAATAAGCTTCTGAAATACTCCAAGTAAGCCGGGCTGAGGGGGGAAACGAGCAAAGCAACATCCAAGTATGAATAAACGCTTCACATTTAATAATTAATAAGAAAAAATCTGTTTACTGAAAACAAATTAATAGCTCTGCATGTTGATGATCTGTCATTTCTCAAGAAAAAAAAATAAAAAGTTTAAATTCAATCAGTGTAAAATTCTAATTTTAACGTCCTGCCACCGTCTTATTATTTATTTTTTTGTTATAAATGCCAAACAGCAAGTAGAAGAGTATTTTCTTGCACTACAACGCCGTGCCTTTACTCACTATTTTATCTGCAGCAGAAGCAGCGATAGACACACCTCCCTTCTCGAGGTAAGCCTGAAGCAGGCGCACAAGAGGGGGGATGTTTCCGCTCCGCTCCCACAGAACCGGCTGCAGCAGGTGGGGGAATAAAGCCATGTAGGAAGCAGGGATAGAGTTGGAGTGGATCTCTAGGAGGAGAGACATCACCTGGAACACATACGGAAGGAACTCTGCAAAAGAAGAGCGTAATGAGTCGTCTCAAATTTCTACAACAAGACTTATTTTGTGTCCACAGGGGACCGACATACCCTGGACATCGTTCTGAAGGATCTCTGTGAAGACGGGGAAGAGCGCTTCCTCGAAGCTGCTGACCGTGGAGGGGTTGGCTTTGCAGGTGATCCGCACCGACAGGCACAGGGACTCAAACAGGTAGTGATTGAAGTGAGGTTTGCTGGGATTCTGAAAGGTGGTCCAACATGTTTTAGACGCTAAACAAACATCTTGATAAATCTTCTAAACAAATGATCCTACCTTGCTGACTTGGAGAAGTTTATGAGTGAGCTGACCGATCAGAGTGGGAATGTAGGGAACGATGGACTCCTGCAGCAGGGAGAAGCTACGCATGATGGCTTAAGAATCAGACAAAACAAAAACACGATGAGCCAAACAAATAACTTAAGACAAGAAAGTGAACGGGAACGAGACAAACATCAGTTTTACCTTTCATGATGTATTCGTTTTCTGCAGAGCCTGGAAGAGCCAGAGCTTTGAACAGGTTGGTGAGCAGCTGCTCAGTAAAAGGTGCCATTTCTGCAGGAGTGATCCTGAAAACACAAAATGTTGGTTAGCAGCTCCAGAGATGGAGGTTTATGCACTAATGTCATTTAATCACAGAACTGCACACAAACAGGGAGAAATATTTCTTGTTAAAGTTGGACTTCAATAGCTTAGTCAGTATTTTTGTGCAATTGATGATCCTACAACTGCAAATGAAATACATCTCATCTTCGTGCAACGTGCTTTTTCTCTGAAAGATAAAATTTCAGGTTTTGTTTACTAATAGTTATATCTAATTTTATTATTTCATGTTCTTTTTAACCTTGTATTAATTGCTTTTGTTACTTTTAAGAATTTAATTACAAAGTTCTTTTTTTCTTATTGTGATCAATCAACATGTGAATTTACCTATGGAGGAAAAAATAATTATTTGTTTTATTCAGTTCTTGTTAATTTTCTTGTTAAGTCAAAGACTTTTTCCAAAGCTGCGACTGAAACACCTTAAAATCTCACAAAAACTACATTTTTAAAACCAGTTTGCTTTACTTTTTAACATTTGCCACAGAACATAGATATTTGTTATGTCTCTATTATATTTTGCTGAGTATGCAGCACCGTGACACGTCAAGGAAGCAGCAGGTAAAAGATAAAGGATGGATGGATGTAATATAATAAAAAAAGTGGACTTTAAAGGACATCCCTCCACTCCTAGTTTGCTTGACACTCACAGTGTTGCGTTACTGGGGCCTCTCATGGTGAACAGCCTCTCTAAAGCGTGGGCAGCGTACGTGTGCTCCACTGTGCTCTCTGCCTGCAGATGAGTGATTAGAAGAGGAACCGCCTGCAGCAACTGCTCCTTAGGAAGCTGAAGGAACAGAACGAGACGCTGGCACTGAGCTCTACTTGGGAGCAATACTCACAAGTTTTACTTGGGAAATAGAGCAAGCAACGAAGAAAGTAAGGAAGTGTTCGTACCTGACTTCTGAAGATCATAACATATTTTATTGCATCTGCCTTCAGCACCGGAAACTCGTTAACTATAATGAGATCACGAGAAAAATCATTATTAAACTGTTTTAAATAAAAGCATGAGAATAAAAACATGATTGAATAGTTTTGTAGTTCCTGCAGCGAATCAAGATCAACCAAAATGTTCTTACTGTTTGGAGATTTTAAGTCCGGGAGAATATGGTTCACAACAAATTCAGTCAGATTCACCAGCTCATTGGCTTGTGTTATTCCATGCTGTTAGGAATATAAAAACACCTCACCAGTAGAATTTACCACAGTTTGAAACATGTTTATATTAGCCGTCATGCAGTCGGAAATCATTTGAAGCCCACCTTCTGTGTCTGGGCTTTAGATGCCAGTGATGTGACCAGATAGATGGCAGCATCTTTGTGCTTCCAGTTCGCTCTGGGGTTCTTGGCGTATTCTGCCAGCATCGAGTTCACGTAGCCAGAGAAGATCGTAGTGACAGGCCCCTCAAAAAACTTACAAAGGCCTCTCACCAAGTCACAGGCTGCTCTACGGCGAGTATCGATGTCTAAGGAGTAGAAAAATGTAAGACAGATTTCTGACAAGCTGAACGATCAGTGTGACCAATCCAGAACATACTTGTCGGGCAAAATCAGAAAACAGGAAAAAACAAGAAAAAACAAGAAAATCCGATGTTTAAAATAAAAATAAAAAACCTAAACCACCATACTCGTTATATTTAAATAGGTTTATGCTGCATCAGATAATATTTTAGTGCATATATGGGCATCAAGTCCAAATATCTGCTCCTTGTTAGCACAACCGTAGTATTACGGTCTAGGTCAGGGCTTTTCAACAAAATTGCTCGGGGGGGCCACAGTTTCTGAAAGCCAACAGCTCAGGGGCCAGACAGACAGCAATTAAAGTCATTATGTAAATAAAACAAAGTTTACAATTATCTGTTACCTTTTTAATTGGTTTATTTTATTGCATTGAATCATAAATGCAATAAACAGAACCCAAAATAATAATTTAAAAATAATGTATGAAGTGGGTCAGATTGAAGTCACCCACGGACCGCCAAGTTGAATAACCCTGGTCTAGGTTAAAGTTGTTAAGGTGGCAAGGTCTTTGTACATTATATTTAGCTGATGAACTCTCTTATGTATGATTTTTTTTTTTTTTCAAAAAGGCATCCAAATCTTACTTTTGTTCTTCTTGGTCATTTAAAACATCTTGTTAACTTTAATGCCTTATTTTAAACCTTTAAGGATAAAATTGTATATAATACATGATGTAATTACCATATATATTATATGATATATAACTAATTTTAGGGCTGGACAATATGCTGAAAAATGAATCACGATATAAGCATTTCATATCAGTCGATAGTGATAATTATTATTTTATGCTCTAAATAGCTGAAATACTACCAAACTGGTGGCATGACCAGTTTTCACTCCACACCATTGTTGTTTATTTTTAAGCCGTTATGAGGCACGGTGGCAAAACCTTAAACTGTTGCTGTGCAAGTTACTCATCAGGTTGTTGCTAGGTAACCAAAGAGTGAGTGAGCTCATTGATGCCACCAACCTTGCTTAGCTGGGCCCAAGAGGTCGAGCGGCTACAATCTTTCCTCTACATCTACATCTCCCAGAATGCCATGCGGTTCTGGATCAGGGTTCAGTGAATATTCTATATATTGAATCAGATGTATTATGTATTGATATTGATCACGTTTATCGTGATATATATTATTGATTTATTGTCCAACCCTAACTATTATTAAATAAAACAGAAGGTTTTTGTTACATAAATATATCATTTCCCTTGTCTTTTGAGTCAAACATATATTATCAATCACAGTAGTGTTTGAACTTAAGACTGAATGAATGTTTTTTTACAGTCCAATAGTAACAAAATGTGATTGTTGATCATTTCATCTGGTTTTAGAATAAACTACATGTTTACCTTTTAGCATAGATTGTTTAAAACATTAAATTCTTTACCTGATCCCTCAAGATCTCTTCGAATGTATTCCTCAGAGTTATCTTCAAAAGCCTCCTCGTCTGCACCTGATCGGGCAAAAGAAAATAATCTGCTCAGTGTCAGAAAGTATTTAGGAACACATCTGAAGCAAGACAGAATAAAATACAAATGCACACCCATCACTTACTTCTGAACTCCATGTTTGGGACAATGACCTTTTCACAGATGCTGGTGAGAATATTCTGACTCTCAAATAGATGCTTGTAATGTGGCCGTTCACAGACTGAGGCCAAAAACTGGATAGCATTGCTCACAAGCTGCAACAAAGAGTAGATCAAGTTTGTACATGAAGAAAGTACAAAAAAAAAAAACAAAAGCAAAGCAGAAGACTGCCACTCTCACCAGGTCATATTTGACTTCCTGTCCAGTAGAGACTAAAAGGTTCCAGATAGCTGTAACAAAGCGAGGCAGGTACGGCTGAAATTCTTCATCATACTTCTGAGCATAAAGAGCAGCGTTATCACAGATCTGAGACTTCAGCAGCTCCAGGAGACCCGCCTCCTCTTCATCCTAAGAGCAAGCCATCATCAGGAAAGATAAAAAATATGTGAAGGTCAAAAACAATTTCACCTGCATTTAAGTACTGCGTGTATGAGGAGGATAACGCACGTCTGTCTGTAAAAGCTTGTTATCCAACGTCAGGAGGCCATGGAAATTGGTCATCCAGGTTTCCATGTTGTCTTCAAAAAACTCTGGAAGGTCCTGTGTGAAAATGGGGAATGCAAATTAACACAAAGAGCACTGATAAAGGTTGAAGTTATGAAAGCAAAGCTGACCCAATGGATGCCTGAAGAAAATTCAACATGACTGTTCTGAATTTGTAAATGTAATGATCTGACAAAATTTACAATTTACCAAAATTTCAAAAATACACAATCAAAATAATCGATTTGAATGCAAACAAAACAGACCTAAAACATTTTAGACATCAACAATGATTTAATTTACTGCCAATAAATGACCATTAGCTTTAAAGAAAACCAATGAGTGCTAGATTGGAATATTGTACCTTTCACAAAAAAGGGGACAAAAATGACAATATCTAAAACTGCAAAATGAAAAGTGCTAAAAACACAAAACTAACCTGAAAGTTAAGGCTGTAGAAAAGTTTAGAAATGAGCGTGAGAGACGAAAAGAGGACCTTTAAGGCATTGACATCATTTGAATGAGTCTGACACAACTCGATCGTTGCCTAAAACATGGGAGAAAAACCAGACAACCATTTTAATAAGCACTACATCTGAAAACATGCAGCTTTGTTGTGGGACTACAATAACAACTTAATAGGAACATAACAAACCTTGAACAGCTCTGTCAGAGGTAGGGCAAATGTGTCCAATACGAGTTTTATCTCGGACCAAAGCTCGTTTGACTTGAACTCATGGCGATACCTTAAAAGTAAAATGATACAGAAAAGATTTGAAATTTTCCATAAAAAAAAGGTGCCGACAAGAAGCACAACATTAAGGTGTCTCTACCTCTTAAAGAGGGAATGTGCTGTACGAAGCACTCCATTTATAATGTGGAAGTCTCCGCTTCGGAAACGGGTCACCATCTCTGTCAGGAGGTCCGGCCATTTCTGAGGAAAGTCTTCTCTTCCTATGATGCTGATGGCGTCGCTCAACTGCAAACGTACATGAGATTTAAAAACTGCAAAACTATTTCTGCACAACTTCAAAATAAGCCCTTTAAACTATGGTAAGATGCGAGGATGTACCTGTTTTTGAATCTGCTCTGGGCTGCTTAACATCAAATTTACAATGTTTGCTTTGATTGCTGTTCGGTCAGCATCAGAGATTTTGTTTGGTTCATCTTCAACCTTTGAGCAACAGAAACATAAAAAGGTAAATTATTAACAGCTACAGAAAAGTAATCTGGCTCTAGTGTTTAAATTCAGACATTTTTCTTTTAGTCAAAAACAATGACAAGTATTTATAATAAACTAACTGAACCTGCCTAATATATAATCTGAGTATGAAGTTTTTATTATTCGTGTGACTCACAATGCGCCAGTTTCTTTTAATGTAGTTCTTGAATGTCACAGCAGCACAGACACGAATCACCGCGTCTTGGGATTTCTCCAGTAAAGTGAGAAGCAGCAGTGGGTAATTCTGGTTTCCCTCGACATTTTCAAGAAACTTTTCAGCTGAGATTTAAAAAAAAAAAATTTTTTTATTTTTTTTTAATTGTTAAAACACTGAATAAACAGTGAATACAAATATACCAATTAAAAAAACCTGTTCTTCAAACACCATTCTACAGTATGCAAGAAAATGCTCGGTCATTAGGAGACGTACCAGGTCGCCTGACTGCTGGGTCTGGGTCCAATGTTTTCCTCAGGAACTCGGTCAGGGTTTGTAGATTCGCATCATTCAGTTCCATGCTCACAACTAACAGAAACAAAACAAATAAATTCATGAAAATAACCAGTGCCCTTCAATATGTTAAACTTTTTCTACATTCATTTTTCAATAACGTTACGACACTCATAACAGGATGATGACAACAGAATGTAATAATGTGCAACTTTATTTATCTGCGCTTTAGATTGAAATGTTTATTTGACGTAGAACAAAAACATAAAGATCAAAACCTAAAAATGAAATAGTTTTAGAGCAAAATCTTCCTATTTTTAAAACGTCCGAGACAAGATTTTCAGCTGGTTGATTGTGGGCTTCCATACAGAACTTCTCAGTGTGTGATGGGTTGGTGCTGAAAGGAGACTGGTTTAAACACTAAAATTATTCATATATGAAATAAAAATTAGTCAAACCACCAACATCTTACTTCACCTCAGTTTCACTGTAAATAAAGATTAAATTTGAGTAAAGAAACCGTGCTCACCAACTTGTTACTAATGTTTTTTGTGCATGGTAGCACTTTAAACTTGCATTTTTGAATACAACCAAAAATCTTTGCTTACAGACAAATGTTATCAAAAGTGTATGAGTCTGTGCAGCTGTTGCCTTTACAAAACCGTGTCTGGTTTTGAAACAAAATCATTCAATATTAGCTTTCAGCTCAAGCAAATATTTAAAATGGTTGTCTCGCAATGTTTCTGCCACACACCAATAATCAAGAACCCCAGTTTATTTAATATAATTGTGTACACTTTTTACCTAAATGGTTTTAAAAAGTTAACACCGTCTAATTTTGTTTACTTGTTGACTTGCACTTTATGATGAATTACAATTAAAGATTGAACACTGAAAATTGGATAAAGAACATGTCATAATCATACATAATCAATGATAGTTTATCAATGTAAAAGGTTACTAACTTTGTTAATTGTGTTTTCTTAACTTCTCTAAAACAAAGAAGAAGAAAAAACGAAATTAATCAAAGGTAAACAAAGAGAACAATGGAAAACAGGATCACACTGCCTGAGATTGGGATTTTAAAGCCGCCGTATGTTTAGATCCATTGCCAAACAAACCTGGTTAGTTAGATTATTTGTCAGCAGTCCTAAAGCTGTTAACCAGTGTAAAGTTCAAAGTGAGCATCTCCATTAAAATGATGCATGTTAATAATTTAATTGTACCGCATATCGTTTCAAATAATCTACTAGCACTTGTAAAATATGAATTATGACAGTAAAACACGTAGCTTATAATTTCATACCTTGACAGAATGCAAGTATTACAATCCTAAAAGTTGTTTACTGTTTAAACAGCACGTGTTGTTCAACACTCACGTGTCAATGATGCATTTGTGAGTTCACAGTTCCTCTCAATGTGTGAGTCGTTCATAGCAGATAAAAGCTTCATACATCTCACAGGGATTGTTTGCCATGCTGACTACAGATTACTTTGCAGTCAGTGTAACAAGCTAACAGGCTAAGTGTAAGATTAAACACATGGGGTGTTGGAGATGCCAGACGTAAGGGATGATATGTTAAATTAAAGTTAGAGCTGTGTATTTCATTAATTATGGATAACTACAAAAATACACACCAAAAGGGTGTGGACAGCAAAGTCCTAGTTCCAGTAAATAGACCGATTCAGCAGCTCCCGAGTCACTCAGCTAACATTAGCGTTAGCCTGCTACTATGTCAGTGGCTAACAACTAAGTTAGCTAATGTTTTCCATCATCACGTATCTCATCTGGACTTCACAGAAAAGCTCAGTTAGGACGCATACAACTTTTTAAAACACGTTTATTGCCAAAGCACCTGATTTCCTTACCGTTACAGTAATTCCCTTCAACTGGAATGGGATGTTGAGCCACCTAAACGTACAGCCGTGCTTACCGCAGCAGCTTTCAAACGTCTGCAGAAGGAAAGGAACTGCGCGGTTAGCGTGTCGCGCAGGCGCAGTAGTGAGGGGAATTCTGGCTCTTCTTTATGATCCGAGTGATTTGATTCAGTTCTTCAAGAGCTGATTCTTTTGTCTTCAACCCACCTCTCTTCAGTCCAACAAACTGTTTTATAAATCCTAGCAGTAAAGTATGCTGTACCAGCTAAATCATGCTACAATTTAGTACAAATTATAAAATAGTAGAAGCTGCTATTGCCTCAGATAACAACTCACTCTTTTAGTTAATTCTGCAATTTTACATTTTAAGCTTAGGTATACAGTAGAATAGACACTGATCCCTGCAATCAGTTGGCAGAGCCTACATAAACACAATTTACACAGTCAAAAGGTTAGTTGCAAATTCATGAACTAGTTAAAGTCACAATTATTCAGCCTTGAAATTGTTGGTGTCCGTCATAGTTTTTAACATTCCGCCATTTTTCATGATTGGATGAAATTACCATTAAATATGAATCATATTAAGTTATTGTAAAGATATTAAAAATGATCTGTAACAGATCCAGTTGGATTTGCTGTTAATTAAACAGTTGTTTTGTCGGCTGTGAGTAGTTGCCCATTTTAGACATCATCTAAGTTTCTCCATTGTCACAAAGGGCAGTATGGGCAGTGTGCACTCCAGTGGTTATATAAAGTAGATTAGTAAGATTAAATGTTATTTTAGTTACCAGGATCTCTGTTTGGTCTTTGTGGACAGTTTATTATGCAAATATCAATTACACCAAAATTCTATATTTTAACATATTCTGTACTGCCTGTACTCATTCTGACTCCTTTTACCAGCACGGGTCACACGTATTTACCAGAAGAAAAACAAGCAGCTTAAAATCAAGAGCCAGCTCTCACCGTGTGAACAAGCTGGCACAGTGAGCAGCAGCACAACAGTATTGCCAATTAACCATTCATAGTTCCACGTACAAATTAATTATATACTATAATACAAATTATGAAAGTTACGGATCCTCTTTGTTAGGTGCATTATATTTTAGGTGAAGATCTTCTACAAGAAACAGCAGGTTTAAAAAAAAAAAATCAAAGCTAAATTGAATTCTACACATTCTTTATTGTGAATTTATGAAGGCCTTCATCACAGATGAACAATCAAATATTGCACTTAGAACAAACAATATGAAATGTAAAAAAAAACTGCTTCAACACAGATAGCATCTTATATGAACACAAATATTTCTTTTTTTTTTTTTTTTTACACTGACAACAAACTGAAGACTTAAACCTCTTCCTGTTGCACAGGTTCAGCAACATCCACATGCTACAGGTTGTAGGTCTGACGGATGTTGAGGCTGTCTCGCAGCATCAGGTCACGGAGCCGCCAAAGTGCATCTGCCATGGTTTTGTGGGCACCTTTGCTCTTCAGCCAGTGGGATGGTAGCCTGCTTTCTTGCTCTTTTGTTAGGCGCACATCTTGTTTTTGAACTGGTTGTAAAAACATAAAAAAAATTTAACTTACTTTATGAATGGAAGAAAATCGTTTAGAGCTTCCATCTTGACTTATGTGTTAGCTACAAAATATAGCAAAGAGAAATACTATGATATACAGTATAATTACCATTTTATGCTGTTTGTTTTTTTTCACTGACCATCTAATTAAAAACATCAACCTGTGAGAGCTTGGTCCCATTTGCTGACTGTAGAGGATTCTGCAGTAAGGCCCTCGATGTATCTGAGGTACGCCTCAGAGTGCAGCAGCCGCTGAGATTTGGCCGGAGGAGACACAAACAATGGTGTGGAGGGTTGTTGAAGTGCAGGCTGTCCCATCTGGCCTTGTCCTGGGTATGGTGGTGGAGCCTGCTGGTCTGGGCCCGTCAAACCCAGCTAACGAAAGCACGATAAGTGTTAATTAATTGCTCCAAAACAATCACAAAACTGTTATTGTTCAGACTATTTTTCAAAAAAAAAAACAAGATGCAACTAATATTTAAATGTACATTTAAAACTAATGGTTTTATGGCTTTATTGAAGAACCTATATTGTTACTGTAAACCCTTTAATTAAATAATTTCACAAACTTCATCCATTTTTGGTTTCAAGCATAACTCTGCTTTCTTTGCTAGATGGACTTAAATAGATAATAGAACTAATGTTATTTTGTATTAAATGTAGAATAGTTTGAATCAAGAATAAGCTTTGAACTAAACTGCAATCACCCAAAAATAACTATCAAACTGAATAATGTGATAACCAAAGACGCAAAGTGTTTATTAGTTAAGTCGGGCTGTAAGAACATATAGACTCATAAAGCTACAAAAATGTCTGAAAGCAGCATTGCACACAGTAAACACTTAATGTACCGTTAACCCGATTAGTCTTCAAAAGCGTTTCTGCATTGGGGCAGCAACATGTGTCCAACATTTACTTTATGAATTCATTTGGTTTCTCAGACAGAAACTCACTGATTACCTGGGATCCAAGAATGCTTCCTGCTGCAGCACCACTTCCCATTCCATTAACACCTGTGAGGATATTGAACATGAACGCATCACAATAGTGTAGCTCACATTTTTCTGTTAGTTTTTCATTTGAACTACTACTACTTTCAAATTACTACTGAGTAGCCGGCAAATAAAAATCTAGTAAAGTAAAACTTTCAGGAATGCCAATCACTGACTGAAGTTCGTTTTTATATTATTTATAAATTGTAAATGCAATTAAGTTATTTAAATTTACCCTTTTTCATTAATGCAGTTGTAAAATATTTTCAGCTACGCGTTACTCCATAATAGACTAGAACTGAGAAAACAAATGTCTAGTCATAGATGAGTCATATCTGCCAGGATCCCAGCCTAGTGATACAGGTAGCCCCTCCAGCAAGTCAGATTGGTAGACAGGAAGCAACTGCGCAGCAGGTGGGGGTGACTATGACAGCACTCTTACCAGGGGATGGTACTCCACAGGACCCAAGCATAATGGGCAGGAGATGTTGGGGAAAGGCAGGCGCCCCCGTGTGATGAGGTGGCATGCCAACCGTACTAATCATGCCTTCAACATGGCCGTGCGGGTGCATCATAGCTGTCCTATATGCACCCACCAAACAATCTTTAGAAGGGACAGTAATAACACAGAACAATAACATGCATCAGTCAAACATGCACTCACTACCAAGCACGGATTAAGACGTTGCCATGCAGTTAGTTATAATTTTATGACTAGATGGTAAAAATGGAGCTGAAAGAAAATAAAAGCCACAGAAATTAAGAATGATCAGTAAAATTAAACATGTTAAATTTAAATATTTGCTCAAATGCTCAAATGATGCACAGCAGGCTTTTTTCATTTTACAACCCACTATAAAAGAAACGTTTACTCTTTGGGTTTTATTGCAGTGTAAGTGTTGAAACATGATGACATCATTTGGGTTTGTAAATTAGGTGACATGACGTTAAGAGGCAATGTTAAATTAAATAACAACACTGCAACATTAAAACAAGCTGGTGTGGACATGAGGACAGTTAAAATGGGAGAAACTTTAGCAGTTCAGCTTCTTATTCCAGCATTCTAATGTACACTGGGGATCCATCTGCATCTACCAGGGGTTACCTGACACAGGTGTCATGCTGGGATTTAGCATCCCCATGGGGAATGGAGGAGGCACCACCCCCATCAGTGCCCCTACTGGGGTACCTGCTCTAGGGGATGTGTGATGGTGGACCCTGTCACGCTCCTGCTGCTCGGCTACTTTGGCTGCTCTCTCTGCAATACAGTACAGAGAAGTAAAAGGTAATGTTCAACATATTTAGAATAAGAAACTGTATAAATATGGTATATGTGAGTGTTAAGAATGGATAACATCATATAAGAATTCTTACCTTCATACTCTGCCTTCTTGCAACTGTCCAGGTTCCTCCACTCAGTTCCAACAAGGCGGCTCAAGTCCCCAAAAGAGAAGTCCGGGTGCTGGGCTTTGATGACGGCTCGCATCTCGCTGCTGAACAGGATGTAACCACTCATGTTGATCTTCCTCGTTGCTCTTTCCTTCTTTGAAAACCCCTTTAATGATTTAGGAGTTGACTGTGTAACCAAACATGAGAAAACCACAGATAAAATTGCTAAAGGTTTGACAGCAACCAGGTAACTGGTTGATAATTCAATACTTTCACTCGGACCTGCGGAGGGGTGTAAGGCATGACATCCATGTCACTAGACATAGAAGACTGCATCTGAGGTAGAGAATGATCCCTCAGATCACCGTCCTCATCCCCAAGATCCTCCAGCTCTTCATCTGTCATGTCAGCAAACTTCGCCTCAAGCTCCTCAATTTTCTTGTCAAGTAGCGGCGATGACTCTTTCTGGGGAACAATGAGTTTTCTGTATGTATAAAAGAAAAATGTAAAAAAAAAAAGGTTTATTTGGAAAGAACTGGCTGCCTGTGACTGAACCACATCACTCAGTTTAAGCAAACAAGAACCATCTGTTGTCATTCTTTTTATGACATAAACCCTTTAAGAGCCGATTGTTCACCTAAAGTAGTAGATTTCATCCTCAACCACCTTCCCAGAGAGTGAAAACCTCTTAAGACCTTTGAACTTCTTCATCTGCTTTTCGCTTTCGATGTAGCGGCTCTCACAAAGAAGAACATTCGCTTCAGGCACTTCAGTGGGCCGACATGACAAATATTCTTTGAAGGAGGCCACAACACACTTTCCTGTCAAATAAAAACATGCTTGTGTCATTTACTGAATGATTTTGGTAAATATATATATATATATATATATATATATATATATATA